TGATCCTCTGTCTTACAGCCTTTTTCTTATCTATAAACAGAGCGCGTTTTTAAAAGTTTGTTGTTGTTGTTGTTCTACAAATGTTACACTGTGATAAATTTTCAACAAAGAAAGTCGTTGGTGAGAAGTTCTTGCCTAGATATTGGACTTGGAGATGAGAACAAGGCCTCAGGCACAGCGAGCGCTCAGGAGACAGACTGAGGTCCTAGCTGTCCTGCCCACCCGGGTGGGCAAATCTCTCTCTCCATCCAAGGCTGAAAGCTGGGGATTATCCTTCAACTTGTGAATAAGGCCTGAAGATGCTGTTACCAACCTTCTAATCCGCTAATCCCTCATTCCACTCCCAGACCATTCTGCCCACTCTTCTGTCCAGTCGATGCCCTGGTCACCCACCATTTGCACCCCATGATCAACCCTGGAAACCAAAACTGTGTCTCCAAGTTCCACCCGGCACTATGCATTTTCCTGTCTTGCTCACTCTGTCCCCACTCCTTCAACTGCCTGCAGTCCTTCAGCCCCAGGTTTTAACTCTGCAAACCCACAAGCCTGTTCAAATGCCACTTCCTGCTGAGCTGTCCTGGACCCCCCCCCCCCAGAGCCAAATCGCATCAGTCTGTCCTTAGAAGTCCCCGGGGCTCTGCATTCACTCCTCCACTGTGGTATTTACCACGGTGCAACGCGGACAAGAAACACATTTCATTTATCTTCGTTACTCCAGGGCTTTGTAGAGTGCCTGGCATGTAAAAAACACTCAAGAAGTGTTTGCCAAAGAAATACTAACGTCTGTTGCTTGAAGGTGGGCAAGGATCACAATTTAGAAGAGGATACTTGAGTCCATCAGAAGACAAAGATTACACGTACTGAAAATCTCATAATTCTGCAGATGAAGGGAAAGTCGGAGCTGATCTAGCAACACCCCCCCCCCCACGCCCGGGGCAGTGTGGGGTCCTGAACCGAGCCTCCCGCCACCACGTGTCTGCTTTCCTGCACTTCATTCTGCTGTCTCTCTGTCTGAAGGCCTTTTCCAGTCTCCTGCCGTCATTTGAGATTAGATTCTGTGGCCCAGCCTCATAACAACGTTTCGCCCACCTTGGCACAGAAGAGAAACAAAACAGATTGTTTGGAGAAAACCATCTGTTAGCCAGAGGCAAACGTCTGCCCGGGTGAGCCCCCCTGGGCGTTTGCGTGGGCCGGCCCCGGAGGATCGATGGACACTGTCCACCTGAAAACGCAGCTTAAAACATACAGATGCAGAAAAAGCCACTCTCACTGATGTGTTATTTTTTTTAAATATCCTTAATAGAAAGAAAACTATTTGCTTGCCAGGGAGAAGCCAGTTACACCACCGTAAAAGAGGCCACTCTCCCTAAAATAGCATACCAACTGGACTTTCCCTGTGGAACATTAGTAAAACCTGAGAAGGGATACAAATGGCAGAAATGGCTGAGTGAAGATTCCGTTACCCAGTCAATGAAATCAACTCATTTTTGCATCTTTAAACACTTACCATGAGATTTTATTGTCTACATTAAGATAAACTACAAACTGTGAAACAGCATTTATCAAACTCGCAAAAATAAAATCAAATTTCATGCAATTTAGTATTGTCTAGAAAAAGGGTATCTAGCTAACCATGTCGGATCCAAAATCCCAGCACCGTAATGTTAAAACTGAATATTAAAGAATGGTTCGCAGCACTGGAAGTGAATTTTGCACAGCTGAGTACAATGCACAGATGAACAGTCAGAGAGAAAGTTCAGAGGTCATCAGTGTTCTGAACACTCATGTGTGAATTGTACATGCCAGATTTGCAACTCCAGCACACATCTGTCACCAGTGGGCATATGCGCAGTGAAGGAGAATTCAATGTTTGTATCAGCTTAAGCAAAGTGCAATTAGGAAGATAAAACTGTCCCAGGATGAGAATGTTTGCTGCAAACACAAGATGTTTTCTCTTTATTGCTATTTTGAAAAATGAGCCATAGTATTGCTCTCCTCCATGAAATTGTACACCTAAGTTACAGTATTTATTAACACCCATGCAAAAGAAAAAAGGTAAAAGTTGTTCATTATTTGAAATTGATACTAAGTTAGAAAATGTCAAAACTACGGAAGAATTTTATGTATAAATTTAGACTTAGAATATTGAAAAAAGGGAGGTGGAATATAACAAGTGAAATCAAAAGAGCAATTTGAAAATTTAATGCCCTGAACTCATGTAAACAAATTTCTAAAACCTAGAAAGCAGAAACCCTAAAAGGGGATTAATTTGAGAATCTGAAAATTTATTATGCATTTGCAACGCATTTTGATAACAAAGACAAAAAAAAAAAAAGGAAAAGGGGAGAGAGAAATACTTAGGTTTGCATAGAAAGAGATAAAACTTAAAAACCAGATCTTTAGAAGAGCCAAAGAGTTCATTCATGTTTAACAGTCCCAGAAACAAAAAAAGAGAATAGAAAGCAGGTTAAGATGCAACCACGAGAACTTGAAGGGCACAGAAGTACAGAGAAAAATTACTGTAATCTTGATCCATGTAAGTTCGATAGAAACACGAAGAAAAAAGTAAAAACTTATTTTCAACACCATGTAAAATCTCTTGTAAATCTCATGCAAAATGCCTACTACTGTTTGATCAGTGGCCCAAAGACACACTAACTAAGTCACCAGCAGGGAATGATAAAAACAGGGGGATAAAAAGGTCTAAAAGGCAAAATTCAAAAGCTCTAGCTACATGGATTGGGTGAAACATAAAATCTGTCACGTGAACTCTCAGATTAAAGCCTTTGCTAGCTGGAATTTTTTTTTTTGAGGCTTTTGATAAGTACCAACAAATGTACTGGAAAGTCTTGAGTTTGATCAGCAAAGTGATTTTTGCTAATTAACTGACTAAATGATTAAAACCATTCTAAACATGACACATCTATTTTTTTCATGGGTATTAAAAAAAACAGAAAGAAAGAACAGTGTTCTTTCTCCATAAAGAGAGAAATCTAGAATGGAAAGCTTGCCCAGCCATCACCATGGTGCTTTCCAGCAATATTTTGGAATTTTCCAGAAATTTAAAATCTAATACAAAATAAGCCTTATTATATCTGATCATGTATAAAAGATCCTATTAGCCAATAAAGTGTGGATTTATCTTCATGCACTTTTACCATACAAACAAACCGACTTTAAGGTCTTTAGAACAGAATATCTTTTATACAACATCTCTTTTAACAAAATACCGTTTTAAATAGATCCTCTTTAAAATGGTTTCAGTCCTATATTCTTGTGCCAGAGAAATGCTTTCAGAAATGAGATTTTGCTCATGACTGTCTTAGTTGAGTTGTAACAGGTGCATTAGAATTGAAGGCACATTATTCCATTTATGCTACACCTCCCAGGAACAAATTGAGTTGATGTCCTTTAGAAATCCATAGAATAAAGTCCAGACAGGATAAAACCTAGTAAGTGCCAGTCCAAAAATGGTTGCCAAGGATAGAAAATATTATTACTGAAACTCAGAGATTCAATAAACTCACATAAATTACTGCAAAGGCTTGCTCTGGGCCTAGGGGTGTATTTTATTTCTTCTGAACATCAGTTGCAAAACTGTTCTGTTTTTTAAAAAGATATCAACTCTTACTTTTCCCTTTGAAGAAATGGGGCATAAATTAAATTCAGAACTTTTTGTGAATTAGATATGCAGCATTTATGGTTTAGAAAACAGAAGTCACATTCTGCTGAAATAAATTTTCAAATTAGACATATAGAATTAAACTGTGCTGGATTCAGTGGTTGAATCTATATTCTGAAGATGATGTACAACAGTAATCATCTCAAATTCCACTTCAGTTCCTTTGAATGCCAACAGGGCAGTGTTCTTGGACTTAGGCATGTCTGGGTACAATACGGGAAATCTGTTAAAAATGCAGGAACCCTTCAGGCCACCAGAAACCACTGGTTCTCATGCAGAATGCAGGAAGAACTGATGAATAGATAATAAAGAAGGTTCGTTAAAGACTTACAGGCATTTGATGGGTTACTCCATTTGAATTCCCTGTATTATTTTAGACCCAATTACAAAATCATTCTCTAATGAAGGACTCCATACGTTTCCTCAGATACTCAGAGTACAGGCAGATCTAGCTATTCTTTCCCTGGGGGATTCAAGAATCTGAAAATGGGTTTGCAAGGGTTTTATGACAAAATTTTGGAAGAGGCCATCAGGGTCATCGGTCCAATATTCTCGAGTGAGGCAACCGAAGCCCAGAGCGGTGACGTGTGTCTCCTGAGGTCAGAAGACTAATGGGACAGTCGGAGAAAGTCCAGGCCTTCAGGGTGCCCTCCAGTCACCAAAAAATTAGTGTTTTTTACTCAGGAGGAGTCTATCGAGCTAATCTCACACACATTTTAGGGGCAATATACCAGAAGTGCTATGAAGAGATTCGTAAATTGTTTCGTGGTGGAAAAGTAAAACTGACTCAGTCTAAATGGCATTCGGTTACCACAAAGGAGAAAGAGAACTGGAAATTATGGTTTTTTTTCAGTTCCTACTATAGAAAGGTATTGCCCTATTTACCAGTGAAAGACAACAGAGGCTAGAGTTTATAAGCTTCATAAGATAATTTTCAGGAGTTTAAATCATCATTAACAGTCATGAATTCAATGTATTTCATTTAGTCTAAAAATCACAATTATTAAATCTTTAATAAAGTATAAAGTCACTCCATTTATTTTTAAAAACTAAATATATCACTCACCAAATTTTCATTCTTTTAAAACACACTTTGTGGTTTGGTATTTTCAACACATGATTACCGCATGGTAGGTAGTACAACCAGAAGGCACATGAACACACAATTAAGAATCATGTGGTGGTTTTACAAACTTTCCATTGAATGTATGTATTCATAATTATTATATATATTAAGATATAATATTGAATATACAAATCCGTTTAACTAAACTTTCTTAACACAATGAATTTTTTTTGTTCTGTGTCATTTACATAGGAGACTCTTTCTTCATGGCTCCCCCCTGTTGAAACTGTTTCCCCCAATGGACTGTGCCTCTCACCAGAAGCTACTGCAGTGACCACGTACTGAGAGCACATGACTCACTGTTTGCTGAATTAAGGTTTAAACTGAATTACCGCACCTCATCGTCATCCAAATCCTGTTTTTATAATTTAACTTAGAATGTTATTTGATGTCTCTTTAATGGTGGGGATTATACACTTGTGAAATATTTCTACTGCTTTCTAATGGCAGTATTATAAACCTAGGCCTCTTTCTTTTTATGATGAATATTATGAAGAACACTGTATTTTAACTGCCATTTACTTTCTTCAGAGAACAGCTGGTTGTTCTGTGCTGTGTAACTATTTATTTGTAACCTAATAGTTTCAAGATTTAGAATACATACAGATGGACACATTTTTTGGTCTCTGTGGGGGGTTGGTTTTAAGACCCCCCCACAGATACCAAAATCTGAAGATGCTCAAGTCCCTCATATAAAATGGCATAGTACCTGTATATAACCTACGCACATCCTTTGTCATCTGTAGATTACTTATAATACCTAATAGAATGTAAATACTATGTAAATAGTTATTATACTGTATCATGTAATGATCAACTTTCTGGAATTTTTTAAAAATATGTTCAGTTTCAGGTTGGTTGAATCCGGGATTCAGATTTGCTCAACACAGAGGGGCTGGGAGGGCAGATTATGTTTGAAAATACCCTTGCTGAGATTGTTAATAACTTGCAATAGGGTGAATTAACTCAAAGGAAACAACTTTTTTATATCCAATAAGCTGGTTATCTAATTATCAGTACCTACCCAAAGGAAGAACAGTGTTAATTAGAAAAAGTGTTTATATTAATGTTTGTTTTAAAAAAGCATTTTAGCACGTTAATTTCCTTACAGGTTTGTGGGTTGCACTTTCGTGCAGTTTCACAAAGTGTCCAATGAAGTAGTGCACTCCAGTGAAAAGCCCCAGTGGATGACAAGCTCTCCCATTTTCACTTTGCTCTCTAACACCTTCAGGACCTGGACATGGCTGCTGTTCTTCTCTCTTTGCTATCTGAAAGGATGGGCACAGCCTTTGGTACCCATGTCTTTCCTCAGGTCTGGCAGAGAAAATGAGAGACATCTACCCTAAAATATAATGGATGCCTAAAGAAACAAAAAATTCAGATCTTTCCCCTTCTGGCTCCTGCTGAGTTAAAGGCAGGGGCGATAAGCCATTAAACGTGGTGAGACAATAAATGGGAACTTACATACACAAGCAATAAAATCCTACTTCCTTCTTGACAATTAATAGGGATGGGGTGGGTCTTAAGACTATAAAAGATCAGAGAATAATAGTGTTTGGGCTGTAAGCAAACTAAGGCCATAAAAATTTCAGTTCCTTGATTTTTACTTCAAAATGACTCTGGTGATTTGATTAGTGCATTTGTTTTGATGGGTTAAGGTTCCGTTTTGATCAAGTATAGCCCAAACACAGAATTTCACGGAGGTTGGTCACAGGAATGTTTAGAAACATAGTCTTGTGAACTGTTCCCTTTTATGGGGAGGATGAGGAATTTCCAAAGGCACCAGTTCCCCCTTTCACGAGAAGACTGCCGGTCAGCTTCCAACTGCAGGGCTTAGTCCATCTGGGTCTCCCAACGCTGCCTTCTGTGCCGCGGTCAGACTGCTTAGGGGGCTGCCCCAGCCACGCGGCCGAGAAAACAGCCACTCCGATCTAAACCTGCTGCGATTTTGCAATCAGGTGTTCACTGATGTATCAACAAACACTTGGGGTCTTTTGATGAATCAGCACAAACTCCATCTTGCTCAGTGCAGGCCCTTTACATCTGGTTCTCAAGTTTAGGTCTAGGGGAGTTTGTAGACAGCTTCACGTTCAGGGAAGAATTAGTTTTCCTTTTCCCAACGAAAAGGGTAACAGTGGCACAGGTGAGTCGTGAAGTTGGCAGACGGGAAGCTGACCTGCCACTGTCCCCCTCTCTGGAGCGAGCAGCAGCCCTGTGGGAAGAGGGCGGCAAAGGTGCCTTGGCCCCTTCCCGAATCATCTTCACTTTCTCGACACCTGTGGCAGGTGGTCTGACACCGTGCTCGGGGCCAGGTGACAGGCCACCGCTGCAGAGGACGGTCCGCCCCAAGCAGAGCAGACGCCCCAGTGATGGAGCCCGTGTACGGTGGCGGCCAAGAGCTGTCGCTTAACCCTAACCCGAAGGGCAGTCTAGTGTGTCCTGGGCGCGTTAAAAGCACAAAGCACCCCGCTTCTTGGGCTGAGTCCCGGAGGCCCGACGCTCCCCTCTGCGCCCCCACCTGTTGGACAGCATCCCTGCGCTCCTTCTTGCCCAAGTGCTTTGCAAACTGCCAACGGGAACCCAGAGACCTCGGAATGTGACGGGCGACAATAAATATGCAGCAGAGATGGAGCCCCAGTAGCGGACACATGGGGCCGGGCCCCGCGGGGGTCGGGGACCTGGAGCCCGGCCCTCGCCGCCGTGGTCGCGCGGCCAGTGCCAAGACCGGGCCACTGGCGCCAACTCACTCCGGGCACCGTGCCTGCAAAAGGGGCCCCGGCCGGGCGGCCGGAAACCTCGCAGACGGAGGGCAGCGGGTACAGCGGCCGCCGCCCCGGGGCTCCTCGGCGGACCCTCCGCCCACCGCCGCCGCCGCCGGCCCGGTGCCGCCGGGTCCCGGCTCGGAGCCCCGAAGGCGCCCGCTCTCCCCTGCCGCCCGACCGGGCGGCATGGAGCCCAGCGCGGGGCCCCGGACTCCTGAGCCCGCGGCGGCGCGGGAAGCCCCGGCGCGCCCGGCCGAGATCCGGAAAAAGATGGCGGCCGCCGTGGCGGCGGCGGCCGCGGCGGCGGCAACTTCGTACGCGCCGCTGACGCCAATGGCGCGCGCCGGCAGTCGGGCCGCGGCTGGCGGCGGCGGCGGCCCGGGCTACGGAGAGGGGCGGGGCGAAGCGGGAAGGGGGCCGGCCGGAGGCGGAGGCCGGGCGGCTGGCTGGAGGGAGGCGGCGGGGTTAGTTTTCTCTCGGAACATGGCGGGCGTCGGCGACGCGGCCGCCCCGGGAGAAGGCAGCCGCGGTGGCGCGGACGGCCCGGAGCGCGACGGTCGAGGCCAGGCGGAGCAGCCGGGCGGCGGCGGCGGTCACGGGCCCCCGCTGGCGCCTCAGCACACGGAGACGCTGGGCTTCTACGAGAGCGACCGGCGGCGGGAGCGGCGTCGCGGCCGCGCAGGTGAGCCGGGCGAGCGGACGGCGCTAGGCCGCGGGGTCCGGGGTACGTGGGGCTGCGAGCCCGGCCGCCGCCGCTGCCTCCAGGGCCGCCTGGGCTGTGGGCGCCGGGGTCGCTGCCGCTCCGGAGGCTGCGGAGGCTCCCGAGGTTCCCGAGGCTCCCGCGGCGGCTGACAGCTCCCCGGGCGCGGTCCGCGCGGCCCCGAGCCCCGCGGCCAGGTGCGTTCTCGAGGGGGCTGCAGCCCGGGAACTTCGGTCCGGGGCCACGCCACTGCCCTCCGGAGGTTCTTAGGAAAAAGACCCTGGGGCATCCTCACGCCGCGGCGCGAGCATCTCCCGGGTATCGTTGAGCTCAAAACTGACAAGCTCCAGGCTGATGTAATTATCTCCAAGCCAAGGTGACTTTTGTTGTGTATTTTAAGCGAACTTGAGCCGTAGAAACCTGTTAAGTTGCCCCGCACATTGTTTTCCCCCAGCCGCTTCTCACAGTGCGGTAGTGGCTGTGAAGTTCAGTACTTTTGCTCAGAAGTATTTAGCACTCTTCAAAACGTAACCTGTGAACTTTTCCTAAAACGAAACTTTTGCCACCTAAAAAAAAAATGGCTGTAGAAGAAAAGATGCACGTGCGAACCCTACTTTGACTGGTTTTCAGCGTTTTATATTATTTCTTGTGGCTATCGGACACTCTTGTTTGTGAAGCATTTTTTAAAATTGCACTTGCGTTTATAGTGCCGTTGTATATTAGGCTTAAAAGGAAAGAAACAAGGTTTTGAGATGCACATTTCATTGAATGTCAAGGGCTCACAATATATTAACTCTTACATAATTCTAAGTTTTGAACAGCAGCCAAACTGTATCTCCATTAAATTTCTTCCCCAAAATTGCTTCTGGTGCACAATAAGGGTTTTGTTAGCCGTTAATTGTGGGCAGTTTGTACAAATAAATGTTTAAGTCATAGGCTTATGCATTGGCTGTACAGAAGTATTGAAAATATAAGCGTGCTTTAATGCCACAAGGACGATCAGGTGCTGAAATATTGATTGATTTGCTAATTTGCAGAACTTAGACATAGGTTAGATTTTGCAGAGCTCCGTGTCTTTGAAAAATTAAGTACAGACTGTGCCTTGTTCGGTCTTTTTCAATTAACCACTTAATCCTCAACTGTGTTTGGTTTAGTTGTCAGTTAAACATTTGTTTGCACAAGTATTTACTTTCTGAATTGGCAGAGTCTAAGTAAGACAAAGTATTAAATCTCTCAGCTGTCTGTTTACTTGCTTAGACTTGAATAGCGAAAGCCCTCTGCTGCAAAGAGAAATGGAGAGGTGTCACCGTAATTTCTTTAAGACATTTCTGAATTTCAGGAAGGGCCACATTATAAGTCTTTTTCTTTTCCTTTTGCATGCATATAAAATGAAGTTGTCAGGAGCTTTTTGATAGCCGAGACTTTGGGTTCTTGGGATGACTCCTAACAGCACTTCCCTGGCCCCTCCCGGATGGGTCAGGATGCCTGGTGCTGTGGACTTCCACGGACTTCATCACACCGCACACCCTTTCTTCATCAACGTGGGTCACTGGGCAGAGTTTGCGTAATGTGTTTGAAGCTGGGTTTTAACTCATAGTTGCAAAAAATCGCTATCCGGGAGACATGTCCAGCTTTGGTTGCTGGGGTAGTCCACACTGTGTCCGCAGTTGCATCGGTTATGTGTGAGGGAAGATGCCATGACCACACCTGGGGATTGGGACTTAGGTGAGAATCCGGAAAGTTTTCAGCTGGAGTCTCCAGCCAGTGATGTTCCATCTGGGCCTCCACACGGGCCCCTTATTCTTTTCCTGCATTGTCTGGTCTGCTCTGCGTGCCCACAGCTCTTGCCATTTTTAGTGCCCACCCTCTAACTTTGATGCCGCACTGGTCAGGGGCATCCTCTCTGGAGATCAGGATTCTTTCGGGCACTCTTCACCGCCCAGGCTGCTGACTGGCTTCCACCTTTACTCTGACCCTCCAGCATTGTTCCTTTCCACTGCTCTGTAACCTTTTCATCCCCTCCCGCCCAGAATTTTGAAAACTGTCCTAAGGAGCTGCCCTGGAGTACTCGGGGCCCTATGAATGGCATCACCTAGTGTCACATGAAAAGCACTTCTCCCTGAATCAACAGTCTTCCAAGCTTAGGGGCTTGCACTTAAGGTGTTAGTTGTCCATTTTTGTGTTCTGGTGCTACCTCTGATACTCCAGACCCCTTCCCCAGATTGGAGCAGCCTTTGTCTTTCCTTTGGTGTCTTGGTGGCCTAACTACCAGTAATGAGTTGTAGAGTTCCCTTTAGCCTGTCTCCCAAGGAATTGGGGGTTCTTATAAATAAGACATTTGTTGGCCTGTCCTGAGAGCTGCAGACTCCATAAGTGAATAAACAGGTTAGGTGTTTATTTGAACCCTCCCCATCAGAGGGAAGTAGTTCAAAACATAACGTTTGAGGTTCATGGTTATTTTATACCTGTCCTTATTCATTTGTAGGTTTAGAAGATGTATTTCAGTATGTGAGTATCGGCTTGTGTATATACGGCAGTATATATCATACACGTACATCCACATTCAGTGTGAGCTTCCTTGCCGTTTCTCTTGTCAAGCTCTTCTGATCACTTGGTTCTCTGAACTTCCTTTGAATTTGTATGTTGCCTAGCTTGGACTGAAGCTTTTCTCAGGGGCTAATCCTTATACCTTAACATGGTTAGAAGTTGCTATCCCACTCCTCATCCCTGTTTCCATTCATTCTTGCACAGTGGCCGTTGTGTCTTTCACTGTGGACTTACGTGGTCACCGATCTTGGACCCTGGGTATAGTGGTCATTAGGAACTGCAGATTCGTCTGTCATTTTTTTTTTCCTACTTTTAAAAATACTGCCAACTTCTATTGTCCTTTTTTAAAAAACGTTTATTTAACTGCCTAAATGAATAACAGAAAGAGGAAGTAATGTACAAGTGAAAACATGACTGATAAGACCTTCTCAGTGCTGATGGTACAAACAAAAGGCAAGTTCTCTTGCTGGCGCAGTTGTAACAAGTAGACCAGCGACATATTTATAGACAGCTGTTAGAAATGACACGTGTTGGAGGAAGATTGTCTGTGGCTCTCGGACTCTACTGTTGTTTTTTTTGACGTAAGACCAGATACTGAGTACATCTTAGGTCGGTGTTGTGTGTGTTCCCCACGTAACTCGTCTGTGGAGGTTCTAAATGGGAGAGTTTCTCTGTGGCCATGTTCCTGTTTAGGAATCCAGGTCTAGCCGGGCAACCTTGGGCTCAGAATTAGGCAATGTGTTCTTGGCTGGGTCGGTTATTGGATCGCCGAGTTGACTCTAGGCTTGCCTCACACACTTGGGCGTGCATCCCAACTCCACCACTGAATAGTGTCTGAAGTGCTGCTTCACTTGGCTGCAGTGACGGTGGAGACTTTCCATTGGAAGGCTTGGTGTAAAATAAGTGAGTGTCACCTGCAGGTGCGGACTCACAGCACCTCTCCAGTGCAGGTGCCGGAGTGTGCGGCGGGAGGGGTGTTGCTCATAAAAACAGGGCCCAAAGAAAGTGTGGTGGACAGTATTGTTTCTGATCATAACAGGAGCGTGGGGCCCATGCTTTTTCCTTTTTAAACGGCGACTCTTCACTTCCCCAGTTTAAGCTTGTAGCCCCTCTGTTTTGCTTCTCTTCTCTGCCTGTACCCATCCCAGACTGCTTGCTTTCCCTTCGTAACAGCAAGCAGAGGTGGGAAGAAAGACTGAAGCCCAGAAAAGCCAGTTGATCTCTTTTTTGAGCATCTCCCACAAAAGATTTCAAGTGGGACAAGGTTTTTACTGTGTGTACTCCCTCTCTCTTATTTTGTGTAATTTAAAAACTCAAGTTCTTACAGATAACGTTTTTATTAAAATATGTTTTCACTTAACCAGTCCTCATTCTCCATATAGTATCTTATGTAGATATCTCTGGGGCCCCAGACCTACCTAATGGCTGATTAAAGGCTGTGATTCTGAAATTATGTTCTAGAATCAATATTTGACTTCTCATTTACGAGGGAAAGTATGAGTAAAACTGACTGAGAAGTTACTTGGAGTAACCACAGATACAGTTCAGTTAACCTCTCTTCAGGCAAACTGTTGCTCTGCCTTTAAAACTCTCACTTGTGCTACCTAAGTAGTGCCTGTAACCCAGACAAGCAGGAAAGAGTCGATCGCGCTGGTCTTTGACCAATGCAATATCTTGACCTTTGTAATCCTGGAACTTTGCCCTAGCGGCTCATCTGTGGCCGGATTTGGGGACCGCTCGCACGAAAGAGGCCTTCGGAAAGGCTCTGTAGCACTGACTGTCGGAATAATGTTATAAACTTAAAAATGTTCTGCCTATTCTTTAGTTCCCTAAATTTAAACAGTTTGGGGTCTTAAAAACTGGGGTGGTACCTTTACTTATTTGACTTCGGAGGGCACAATCGCTGTGGCATTGACTCCTGGTCAGCCGTGCACAAGGGCGAGCCTCTGTTTTGTGTAATAAACTCGAGTTTCCTGTTTCAGTGTAGCCTTCGTAAAGCTTATTAAGGTTTTACATTACTTAAGACTGGAGATTTGCATGTCTCATAATAGTTAACCAATATTACGTTCCATATTTTTTAATGGTTGGAGCTATTTTAAGAACGATATATTTAGACATGCTACTGAATATATAAATATGGTGGGATTACTCATTACTTTCAATGAACACTTCTCTACCCTGGCTTCTTATTTTTATCTCAGTAGATAATTTAAGATAATATTTTTTCTTTTAGGGATGAGGAAAAAACAGTTTTTACTATACTTTTTCTCAATATAAGATACTGGATCTCAACATTTCAGTGGTAGGAGATGAATATTGATTAAGAACACTCTGGACAGATTGATTTGGATTTATGGTTGTTATTACCTTCCTTATTGTAAATATTCGCAATTGGCAAAACTGATTTCTTCTAATGTAGAAGCGTTTGTTAATGT